CTCTTCAAGAGGAGCCAAGGCAGCTTCCAGTGTTAAAACAAACTGTATTGAACTGCTGGATATCTCAGTGGTTTCGGTATCTGGCTGTGGCGCCAGAGGTTGGCAGTTCAGTTCCCCACTGAGCTTCCTTGAAAGCGGCTGGACTAAATCCATATGTTGCCCTCCAGCTCTGCACTTCAAAGATTATAAAAGCAATAAAATAAGATCATTGCAGCAATGAAAAGAAATCAAACAGATATCCTGTTAAATATGATATAATAACCATGTGCCATGAAGTCAATTCTGACTTATGACAGCCTTTTTCAGGGTATTCCAGGTAGAGAATAAACAGGTTTACCCTTCCCTTCCACTGGGGGTGCCCTGGGGCTGTGCAGCTGGCCCAAGGCCACCCAAGCTGACTCTACTTGCAGGAGGCACAGTGGGGAATTGAACTCCCAACCTCTGGCTCTACAGAAATATTCCTTTTTTTAAGACTTGAATTCCCAGATTCGTCCAACTAGTTGTGGGTTCAGTGGGACTCACTCTTATGTAGAATTTGGAGAAATTACTTTTAAAAAAATCTTCTAGAACCCCAAAACCAGCAGAGAGTCTAAACAAAATTAAGTCGTAGGAAGACCCTGAAGACGTTGCCAGTGTGGATTACAATATCCACTAGAGCAGTGTTTCTCAATCATGGGTCCCCAGATGTTTTTGGAGTACAGCTCCTAGAAATCCTGGGCAACGCAGCTAGTGGTGAAGGCTTCTGGGAGTTGTAGTCCAAGAACGTCTGGAGACCCAGGTTTGGTCTCACAGTGTCTCCCTAGTGTGTGTGTCCTCTTCACCACACAGGCATCACATATTTATACAGTACAGCCCCTCCTCCTGATGTCCCGCCTTCCACTCCCCATAGGATGGAACTTTCCCTCCAAACCCATGACAGACAGGTAACATCAGTGCTGTTATGTAACACTCCCAACCTCTGGCTCTACAGAAATATTCCTTTTTTTAAGACTTGAATTCCCAAATTCCTCCAACTAGTTGTGGGTTCAGTGGGACTCACTCTTATGTAGAATTTGGAGAAATTACCTTTAAAAAAATCTTCTAGAACCCCAAAACCAGCAGAGAGTCTAAACGAACTTAAGTCATAGGAAGACCCTGAAGACGTTGCCAGTGTGGATTACAATATCCACTAGAGCAGTGTTTCTCAATCATGGGTCCCCAGATGTTTTTGGAGTACAGCTCCTAGAAATCCTGGGCAACGCAGCTAGTGGTGAAGGCTTCTGGGAGTCCAAGAACATCTGGAGACCCAAGTTTGCATTAGATCAGTGGTCCCCAACCTTGAGCCTCCAGATGTTCTTGGACTACAACTCCCAGAAGCCTTCACCACCACCTCTGCTGGCCAGGATTTCTGGGAGTTGAAGTCCAAGAACATCTGGAGACCCAAGGTTGGGAACCACTGCATTAGAGGATTCTAGGAGTTTTCATCCACCCCAAATTACCATTCCTGCTCTCTGCTCATAATTAAGTGAGTTTAAGACTTGCTGCCTCCGTCAAGCAAGGGGAAACTGATGGTCTCAGTGCATCCAGTGCCCGTGGATCCAGCCTGTACCAAGGTGACTGAAGCTTGCCAGGAATGTAGGTTGGCTCAGGCAGCACCAGATAAACATTTGCTTTTGATTCTCACCAGCTGCAATAAGATAAAGGTTGTCAGGTGCTTGGCAAGACATAAATGTTTCAGCACGTGGCCAGCAGTCATGGACAATGCGTTGCTATACATATCTTGGAAAGGGAGATTATGTTCTTGATAGGATATTCTGGGAAGCACCAATTTCTGATTGCTATTTTAATCCGTTGGAATTGATTGCCAAGAACGGCATTTGTGAAAAACAGAATATCCATTCTGAAGACTATTGGTTATTATTCGTTCATCAGTTACATTGATATTACACTTTTCTTTCGGTGACCTCAAGGGGGGCACACACAGCTCTCCTTGCACAAAGGATTATTCAGTATTAGCAAATGCACTCAGAAGGGATGTGCCAGCAGTTTTCCAAAGAATCTGATCAGGGGTTGTATGAAACCTGAGCTTTCCTGGTTAGCTAAAGGTAAAGGTTCCCTTGACATTTAGTCCAGTCGTTTTCGATTCAAGGGCGCGGTGCTCATCCCCATTCCCAAGCCGTAGAGCCAGCGTTTGTCTGGTCTGGTCACGTGGCCAGCGCGACTGGACACAGAACGCCGTTACCTTCCCATCGAGGTGGTACCTATTTATCGACTCGCATTTTTTACAGATTCAAGGGCGCGTTGCTCATCCCCATTTCCAAGCCGTAGAGCCAGCGTTTGTCTGGTCTGGTCACGTGGCCAGCGCGACTGGACACAGAACGCCGTTACCTTCCCATCGAGGTGGTACCTATTTATCGACTCGCATTTTTTACATGCTTTCGAACTGCTAGGTTGGCAGGAGCTGGGACAAGCGATGGGAGCTCACTCCGTCGCGTGGATTCGATCTTACAACTGCAGGTCTTCTGACCTTGCAGCCCAGAGGCTTCTGCGGTTTAACCCACAGTGCCACCACATGGACAAATGCTGGCTTTACAGCTTGGAAACGGAGATGAGCACCGTGCTCTAGAGTCGGACATGACTGGACTAAATGTCAAGGGGAACCTTTACCTAAACACATAAACATTATACATCATTTAAGTGTAAGGTAAAGGTTCCCCTTGACATTTTAG